TTAATTACAATTCTGTTTTCATGAAGTAATTTAGGAAATTGGTACTTTTTATACGACATTGGTATACTTTATCGAATTCAAACTATTTTAGAGTGATTACTATTTTCTCTTCGTAACATAGTCGACATTAATCACATACTAGCTAGACAAGGTTAGTCAGCATTCAGATGTATCATATATATACAGGTATAGCCGATTAGTGCTATTTACCTAAAGAGCTCCGTGATCCTTGTTTTCTTGTTCTTCTGCCGATTTGTTTTCTCTTGAATAATTTGTTACCAATAAACTATTCCAACGTTGTGTAAGAAGTACCTGTTCCATAAACTACTACATGAAAATAGGATTGTAGTTGATTAAAATAAAACCGTTTCCGTAAGATCTAATGCTTTCATGCTGGAAAAATTGATAGTTTGATACTGAGCTCTGGCATTGGCGGCGCCACGTGAGATGTGCTCGTAATGAAAAGTGGCTTATGAGGCGGTATGGGTCAGTCTCGTGGGGCTATATGGGTTCTGGCATCGATAGCAAAGCTGACGACTGATAAAGACTGCGATATGTAGTAAAAGTAGTATAGCTCGTTTGTTCTAACTTTGACTGAAGTTTATTTTAAGTTCAAACATAAGTTATTATGGTTAGGGCGTTCATTAAAAATACCAAAAGACAATCGTGGTCTGCGGAAAACTTGCAAAATGCAATGAATTTGGTAATGAATGAAGAGAAAATTAGAAGAGCTGCTGAAAAGCGCAACGTTCCTTGTTAAACTTTAAGACGACAGATTTGTAGTTTTAAGAAGCAAAATGATAAAGATAAATTTATATACAAACCAAGTATGCAATAAATACACAGGCCCATTCAACCCCATCGTAAGATCCATACCACCCTGGACCTGGGGCAGTATGAATTTTTTTAGATACTAAACTTTTCTAATATGTTTTCGTGAATAAAGTATAAAGACAACTATTTTTTAAGTGGGTGAACTTTGTTCCTGGGTTGTTAAAGAATTTATTGAATGGTTTAGTTAATTATTTACGACAATATTTTTAATTTCCAAGTGATGTTATTTCATTGGTGATCCTTACTGCTCTGGTTTCCTCTACAAAACAATTAAAATTGTTTTTTATATATTACTGTGAAGAGAACATAAATGTAAATGGTACGTAAGCGTGAAATCAGGGTTTTGTTGAAAATCCGTGTTTGTGTCTACATGTGAGCAGAGAAAAGCACCTCCCGAATGAAAACCAAAATTAGACGAGGGCAGGAGAAGTAGGTACACGCCCATGAAAAAAAACCTCAAGCGATTCGAACAAAAGTCAGAGTCCGCATCGCACGGTCGTCCATATATGTATGAATATATGATTCCTCGCTTCCGTACGCGAGTTTTTTCCCTAGCTGTACTGCGTGTCACCTCGACCCTTCGAAATAATCCCGCACACGTGCAGCCGATGGACTAACTTAATTATGACGCGTCGCGATTCTTTGGGCAAACATTAGTTAGCGCCCAAGAGTCCAGTGGGGGGTGAGGGAAAGCGTGGCCAATTGGATGACCCTTCACGCTTGGCCAACTCCGTTGTCGCCTCTCTATATTTCTCTCGCTATACCAAGCAGCGAGCAGTACGAGCTCGTCAAACGAGCAAATGAAAGAGAGAGAGAGAGAGAGAGAGAGCCAGTCCCTGATACCCAGCTATGCCTCTGATGCCTACGTTCATGTATACGTGCGGCTCTTCCTGCTGCCGAGTGGTTCTCATTTTTCCCGCACCATCGTGTACGTGCAACCGTATACCTACCCCCTCACGGTTACTTTGCTCGGTACTTTTTTGTACCCTGCAGCTAGCACGTATATGTATACTTGCATTGGAACCGATCCGAGAATATCCAGAGCATGTGTGTGTACGTGCACGGAAATATATGCAGTGCACGCACGTAATGCGCGCATGGAGTAAAACTTAGCAGGGGTCCACTGGGCTTGAAATTGGATTTTTTTCGTCTTGCTGTGAATGGTTTTAAAGGATTATGCCGATGACGATGATGACGAAGGGATTTTTCTTTTTCGTGTGTAAAGCTCGTAACGAGATTAGGGCGCGCGTGGCGTGGGATTACGCGTAAGGTGCGCTTGTAAGCTTGTTGCTGGCTTATGATCCGGTTATGGTCCGTTATGAGAATTTGGGAATAAGGTTTGATGATGATGCAATATGCCGAATATGAGGAATTTGTTGACAAAAGTTGTTTGAATTTGCTGTAGATGAAAATGAGATTGTTTGGATAATCTTCGTGTCCTGCACCCAGAGCCATTAGCTGTCTTGAAAACTGAAAGATTCGGCAGATTCACTCGACTAAAAAAAACTTTTTGGCACGACGTTCCTTGATTATCTCATACAAGCACAGACAGAACAGAATCCTACAAAAAGTTAGCAGTCATGAAATTCTGACAAAAGTCATATTGGCCATTCGAGATGCTGGTTTTTTCGGTTTTTTACGATTTAACTTTTACTTTTAAAAGTCGTATATTAACATTGTGGTTTATAAAGCTCTGCGTAATCATCAATTTATATTTAGGTCAACAAAATCATCTGATGAACGTTCCTCAAGTTCGTATTGTTACAATTTTGTTTATTCGCATACTGTAATCATGACTCTATTATATACGGTGAATGGACTTGATTCAATTCAACATACACCGCTTGGGCATCTTTCTTATGGATTCTATATGCCAATGCACATATTAAATTTAGTTATAGTTATGCTGGTGTTTCTAGGTGCTTTAAAGTTTGTAGTGTTAAGTGTATGCATGGTATGGTCTGATTTTGTTTTCAAAGTTATTCGTTATAATTGTTTTCATCGAATGATTGAAAATACTTTTAGAACAAGACCACCTAATTATATAGAGTACGGCAACATCGTTTGTCATTTGAAGAGATGAGTAGATTTGATTACATTTTTCGTAGTTTCAGTTTTAGATTGCGTAAAATATGGAGCCCAAATTTTAATAACACGTCTGATTACTTAGAACTATTGTATTCTTTGAATCAATATCCACACAGAAATTTCTCTTTAAATTAGGTTATTATTTGTTGTATTATTATATTTCACATTATTTTGTTAGATTTTTTGGATGAACTTAATCCAAACACGTAGATATTGTAGTGCATACTGGTGAAAATACACGTGGTCCCCTAACCATCAACCAATTGTCCAAGCGAGAGCTGCTCAGTTATGAAATAAAACTCATCAAAAGCCTGTGTAAAGTTTATTCAAAAAAATCCAGGAGTTACGAGCCAAAGGGAAGAAGCACGAAAGTTCCACAACTGTAAAATCCGTCGTGTCTCCACTAAATCGGGAAACACCAGGACACTCCGAGAGACAAAGCGACTGAGCTAAATTTACAGCCAAAGCAGAGCCTCCAAAGTCCCTCCTTTAACGATCCATCCATCCTAATAATAGACACGGAGTCTCTCTCTCTCTTTCTCTCTCCCCAATTTCGGGAGTCGCCACAATTATTACCGTCACCGAAGAACTTTCTCACTCACAGCGGCGGCTCGTTCTCACCCGCGCAGAGCACAACCATCGCTTTATTGAGGAAGCACATGCACAACACACATGTACGCGCATGCACGTACAACGGATGAAAAATAAAAAAGCCGAGACAGAAGTAGCGAGTGGTACGGGGGGACAGCGTACGGCGTTTGTTTAGAGAGTCTCGTTAACGCGCCGGTGAATCGGCACATGTCAGCGCCATATGGCCAATCGAGCAAGTGCGCGTAAGCACACACGCGCAACTCGCGGCGTCTCTTCATCTGCTCGCGACAAAACTCGGGAGAGAGAGAGAGAGAGAGAGCGTATATTGTGCACCTATACGTGTGTACACGCGCGCACGGAAACGAGAAGGAAACGAGCGCGAGGAACCGGGCTTTGAAGCTCTGCCAAGATTCCGCGCTCGCGTGGGTGGCTACCATAGGCGGACCACGGGCGCGCGCGCGCGCGGTTTGAGGTCTCGCCTCCTTCGCCTCGCCCTCCGTGCGCAATATTCCCGAGTTTCTTGGGACACCCGCGCGCGTGCGGCTTATGAAACGCCGGCCGCCGCGACCAAGCTTTTGCGGACTTGAGGTCTTGTTACGGTTACCGGTCCTCGATCCCTTTTTTTTACCCACGTTACGTTGGTCGTATAAACGTACTCCTTTGATACGTTGTATACATAATACGGTTGTACGCACGTACCAATGCCCATAAGGCAAACATTATGTGTATACGCATATACGCGCTCGCCCATAATTTGATGAAGCCATCAATGGGAAGTGTCCCCCTTGTACGACCCAACACCGGTTCTTCCTCTTCATGCATGCATACGTACCCACCGAATCCGTGTGCGGCCAGCTAGTGGCCGGCGCGAGTACACGCATAAAACTCGAGTCGGGCCATTCAGATTCAAATCGCGTGGCAATGAACGGGTGGTAAGAAAAAAAAAAAAAGGGAGTGCTCTACATTTGTTTTTTCCGTTTACTTTTGTGTGGGTTCTCTTGATGGGGAGCTTCTCCCTTTGCCCTTGCGTTGTTCCGAGTATCCAGATTTCATGCATGGTGATTTTGATACCAGCTGGACCTTTTTTTACGGGAAATTCAAATAAATAAAAAAAAAAGAAGAATAAAGATAATGGGTACTGCCGATGATTAGTTTTGCGGGTAAAAGAGGAGGATCGGTGGAGGTATGCAGGAAGAAAAGTGTAAAAATTCGACGTTTTCACATAAAATTTCTTTTTTATTCATCCTCTCTTTGCGCTTTGTCGTGACGTACGTCGCGTATTCACAATACACGCCGTACACCTCGTCTCAAGCGGTTCCGCTGACATTTTCCCCGTGTCCATCGGCGTCAGAGAGCGGTACCGCATTAAATTATCTCTCTTCCGTATAAATAATATCTAATTACAATTTTCTTTTTCTATTTAATCCCCCCCCCCCCACTTGTCTACATTTATATATACATTATACGTAACGTCGCTTCATTTTCTTCCCTGCTCTCGTATATCACCTTCGATCAGTACAGTAATACTCACGCACGCAGCACACATGATAAACTCTTTGTCTGCGCTTTATTGTCCAGGTATATATATATATGTATACATCCGCGCGAAATATGTACATGGCCCGCGATGGGCCGGAAATAGACGATCGTTCGCCGTCACTGTCACTAGCCTTGTCGCCGTCGTCCTTGTGTCATCATCGAGCTGCCGTGGCACTCGGTCGAGCCCGAAGAAGCGCCTAGTACGGCCTCCAAACGCTGATCTTCGCCGGTGGCTCGCTGGTCAGCCTCGTGGGCGAGGCGGGCCTTTTGCTGGATCTCGCCGCCACGGACGGTTTGATGGAGCTTCGTAGCTGGGCCGATGCGGCTTTCGAGGCGTGCTCTGCCGGGGAGGCGCGCAATCTGTTGTTGTTGTGGTTCGCCGATCCGGTGAGCTTGATCGGTACGAAGGCGCTGCGTACCTCCTCGCCTGCGGAGTCGCTGCCGCTGTCGCTTGGTGTCCTAGGTGGGCTACCGCTCGTCGTCGAGTGGTGGCTGTACGAGGGCTGGGAGACCAGGGCCGTGGGTGGCGTGGACGAGTTGAGCGAGGGTGTCCTCGGGGTCGGTAGGGCTGCTGGTGACGAGTAATGGCCGTCGTGCTGGTGAGGTGGACTTATCATGGCCGAGGTCGTCGGTGCCAGTGGGGATCCGTACTTGGCTGACATGTGCTCGAAGGGGTACGTGGGCACGGCGGCCACTGGAAAACCTGGGCCAAACAGGTCAGGATGATGATGCGCCAGGCTCAGCGTGTCTGCAAGTTGAGAAAAGAACGGACATAAGTGGGATCGTGTACACAGGTTTTTTTTTGTTTTTTTTTTTTCATTATTGCAATGAACGAAAAGCTTGACCGCGACTGTGTACCCTTATCGGTTGACTCCTCGCGATCGGCCGATGATTGCTTTGTACGGTTGGTCATTTTTTGCAAAGTGCAGGTATATATACGCGGGATGCTGAGGAAGTTGTTGCGAATGAAAAATAAAGGAATGGGTGGGCGAGCGTTTCGTCTCATTGATAGCCGGTGAGTGAGCGAGAAAGAAAGAAAGAAAAGCATCGGCAAAAAACCGAGAGGGGCGTTAAGCCGAGCGCATTGTTGTGTATATTTATAACACTCGCATGTGTGCAGCAGCAGTTGGTGCGAGAGAGTATATATGTCTATGTATATATGTATAATATACGGGGGTCGCGGAACGAGAGAAAGAGGGTGACCGAGTGCTGTTGCTCGAGGGGTCCATGTACGAGCGCCGTGTACACAGTTGCATGAATCATCGGAGATATGTCGACTAGGTGTGTATACGCCGCTGCCGTTGCTGCTACACACTCTGCATCAGCATTGGGAGAGAAAAGAGAGAAGAGAAAACTAGCGAACGAGTTGCTCACACATGCATGTTGTACGAATCGATACGTTCGAACAAATATACATACGTATGCAACGCGTTGGTGCTTGAGCGAGAAAAAGAGCGACGAAAATTCGCCGATTACGCGTTTATTCCCCCCCCCCCCGCTCCCCAAGCCCCTCACTCGCCCTCTTTCTTTTTTTATCCGTTTCTCTCTTTACGCGCGTCCATCATTCGTACGCGTGGGCTGCGCCTCTCGTTTCGATCCGAGCGCGAAGCGAGTGCACTGCGCCGTAATTATTTGGCAGAGGATCGATCGTCGGTTCAGCGTAGCGCTTGTACTCTTCCTCTTTTTTTCTTTTCTTTTAAATCCAAGCTAATTTCCTCGTTTTACCCCAGTGCTCGACATGGTGAGGTGTTTTGTATGTATCCGAGTACGTATACACGATAAAAGGGATCAGAAATGTTGTCAAGTGCGTTTGAAAAGGTGCTTACTTTTGACAAAGGCTGGGTTGTGCAGGTGCCACTGGCCCAGGTAGGCGGCGTCGAGCCAAGGGTGCAGGAAACCCAGGCCACCCAGTCCGGGTGCGTACTGATAATCTGCAACGAGTAAGAAAAAAAAAGATATCTCGTTAGTATACGACGATCATTAATGCTGACACGACTGTGGTTTGGCAGTTGGAATTCAAAAAATCGTATACAGGACAAGGAAATAACAGTAGACTCACTTGATTTTGATCTCGGCTCCCTCGGTCCGTCCACGGTGACTTTTATCGCCTTTTGGTACGTCGCTATCTGAAAGGGCATCGTGCACACCTGTATCGACAGCATGAACGATTTTCCTGCAAACCCAAAAACACGAGACTTATTTAAAATCCAACTCATCTTTTATTAAAAAAAAAATAAAAAACGTGCCATTGCCCGAAAAAAGAAAGAACAACTCGTATACCTCTTCCACTACGGCCGACGAAGCGCAGATCGTTGAACTTGGCGACTTGGTTGACGATTTTGGCCTCCCAGTTCCTGAGCTCGCCGCAGCAATTCTCGTCGTTGCCCGCGTTCACAATGACCTTCGTGCCGTCCATCACCTCGTCGAGGACGACGACCTTGAAGGCCATGGGCAGAGACTTGTTGGCTCGCCAGTGCGTTGGCAGAGGCGTGCAAAATATCGATGGGCTACCGGTCGGCACTAAATCCCCGTAACATTGGCGCAACGTTTCGTGAAGAGCGTTCATACTCTCGTTGCTGGCGCTGCTGTTGCCGCTCACTGCTGACTGACCCTCCGCCAGATGCATGTTTTGTTTTCCCTGATGATTTTTTTCGGATCCCTTCCTTTTTTTATATATTGGCACCAACACAAATTTACTTTTTCTTTGAATTTTTCCTTCTTTTCACTAAAATCGCAGGCTGTGTTATGTCGCGCGCGCGCACTTCACTGAAACATCGCAGGTGAATGGCTCTGATCTGCGCACGTTAGTACATTTGAATACGCAAATGCGCACTCACACGAACCGGGGAACCACTGAACGAACGATTAACTATGGTCGTGGGTGTAGATGCGTATACACGGGTCCATTCATTTCAACCGGCGGCTACGGTATAATTTATTTTTTTCGATTGCTCCCGTAAAACCAAAACTACACGAGCGTTGTTTCAGAGAGCACCGACCTCGACGTGCACTCGCACCGACGGCTGAGCTGGCTCTAGTTTTTCGCGCGCACTGGCACATCTATTTAAAAGCGGCATATGGCCCTGCCAGTCCTGCCACTGGTGCTCCGTCTCTGCCCGAAGGAGGAGGAGAAGGATGGAAAGAGTGTGTACCCGTGAACAAGCGTTCGGGTAAAAGTGAGGGAAAGAGAGAGTGAGAGAGAGATTTTGGCTGTTTTCTCGTCCTGTCTCTCTCGCTCTTTGGGATTTTTATCCCCACCAGGCGGCACTTTTTCCCCAAGCCCCCGCCCAACGGTCGGCTGGTCGACCAATGAGAACGGCGGTCGTGTTGTGGCCTCCGTGGCGAGCCGCCTTCGCCTACTCTTTCTACCACCACCATGAGCTTCCCTTCTCTCACCCCCCTTAACAGCCGCTCTTATACTCTACCGTGCACGCATATACAAACCAACGTTCTCTCTCTCTCGTTTTGCTTCTTCGCTCGCTTCACCGCTCATCTTAACCACTGCTGTCTCGACTTAGTCGGGGAGGATGGACGAGTGTGTACATGTGTGTGCAATGTGAGCTGGCGAGGGTGTCCCGGTGTCGTCGTGGGGTACATGGTTTAGTTTGGGGTAAGTATCAACTCTCTCTCCTCGATTCCCTTCAACTTTCACCTTCAGCGCGCGTGCGTTTGGCGTTATTGCCGTATGTTGCCCCCAATTTTCTTCGCCTCTTTTTCTCTCTCCCTTGGACATTGGGGATAATGGGGATGTCTTTCTGGCCTCTTCTCGGAGACACGCGACTGGATATGAGAGGGGGAAGGAAAACGAAGATAGGCGAGACCTTCCAAGAGGTTGTATGTATATATATATAACAGTAAAAAAGTACATGTGCTTTTAAAAAAATTCAAGTATACTATGCCTTGCGGTGCGCTCGTTAAAGGTTCTTAGCTTCCTTGGATTCTTCAAAATTTTTTGTTGTTCATCACTTGTACGAAACTGTTTTGTCAAGCTGTTTTAAAAAATTTGTCTTATATAAGTATAATTATTGAATGATCTGAAAAGTTTCCACCATCTAACAGATTTTTTAAATTCAATTAACTCAAGAATCGCAGCTCTTACGAACAATTACTGAACGATTTTTCTTAAATGCTTGAGTTTATGAAACAGAAAAACGACATATATGAGAAAAATATAAAAACAATCTCTAGAAATGTTTTCGCTTTCTGCGTCACTGTCTCTACGAATATCTTTCGGTACTGATTGAGTTGGTGTTTATTTTCTACGGTTCTAAAAGTTATTTTCAACTGCAAGTACAGGAACAATTTGAAAATATAAAAACATTATATTACAACCACTTACCAATATAAAAGACTCCCTGTGGCGTGTTATTTGTCTCAAGAGTCCTTGAGCACTAAACGAGCACCTTCAATACAGAAGATTGTTTACCTGCGTACTTCAGCGTTATAATAATTGCCGATTGATTCCGGGGTTGACGAAGGCTTCGAAATACCTCCGAGAACAAACGAAATTTTATATGATCTCGATTTAAAAAAGGTAGTTCAGACCCCATTGTACTGTTTACACGAGTATAACAAACACCACTTTGAAAATTATACACTGGTAACTTTTAATGCAATTTCTCAAATAGAAGAACGGCTGTTTCTGGTCCATTCGCACTTAAAGTTGGTGCAATTATATACAAGGTTCTCCGAACGATAGAGCAATCGTACGTGGGCACTTCAAAAGGAAAGCCATTCGTTTTGGGTCAGTGTGTCAAGCCTTGCTCAAACGCTGCAACGCTTTGGACGGGAAAAGCAAAGGGTATTATTTGGATCCTGCACTGTTTAGACTTCTGTAAGCCGTACATGCAGAAAACGAGCGCTTGAATCGACCGGTTAGTAAGTATACTGTCACTGTGTTGTTGCTTGCTTGTTGATGGTCCAGTCTTTTCACGCACTGAATGTTCCGCTCCAGTGCTCTTGTTGTTTTTTACACGCCAGCGAGTCTCGTGCCAGTGGCGGTGGTGCTGTGTTGTTCTTCTTGTTGCTATTGCAGTCGATATTGTTCGGGACGAATCGCTCGTTTTTTAGTTGGAGTCGAATGAGAATGACATCGTGACTAGCGTAATTACAGCATCGTTCCGCGTGACAGACGTTATTTTCATGTTTTTTATTTTAAAGTTATAATTGTAATCAATTTAATACAACTGCAGGCTTACGCCTCGTAAAGTCATTAAACCGGGGGTTAAAATGTTATTGGGGCCTCTTTAATGAGGTTTTGGAGTAACAATAGAATGCAGAGATCACAACGATATTCAGTTTCTTAGATAGTATATAGAATACGTAGAACTTATATAAGTTTTTTAAATATTTGTTGCATGGGACGTTACCTCAGTTGTAACATGGACAAAAATTTTTGGAAAACTCAAAGATATTGAAGAAAAACCTAGCTACAAGTTAATTGTTGTTTAACAATTCAGTAAGCAAAATTTTGAAATGTGTTATAGTGCATTTTAAACAATTCCAACGTCAAACGAAAGTTAAATATTGAGTTTGTTGCAAGAGGGAGTGTGGAGTAAAGGGGGCCAAGCTGGCGGGCAGGGAGGACTATTTCTTCGCACCCCTTTGAATGATACTCCTGAACCTTCTTAAGGAAATGAAAATTTTAAAAAAATTTTGCCACCAATAACTCTGAGTGCGAAAAAAAAAGTAAACTTTAACAACTTTACATTGAGGTAGCACTCTTGCGAAAACCTACGGAATGAAATATGTTTCATTCAATAGATTTTGATCCACTGAGTCCAATGGTGTCTTTATTTAAACCCCAAGTAGAGCAAAATCTCAAGATATTTCAGCTCAAAGTTGAACTGTTTAACACGAGCTTAAATGGCACAGCATTAAAATATCAGTTTTACAGGCATTTCCCAACTCACAATAAAAACCTGAGCAAACAAATTATGATGTACTTGTAGAAAAATCTCTGTTCTTCTCAATACTGTCATGTAAAATGCTGGTAATGGGGCATTTTCCAAAGGCATTTGCCAAGAAAGACGTGAAAATCAGCTTCATGGCTGTAAATAACAGACGGTAGCAGAATACCAACACTGATATACGTATATATACGTATACATACACAAGTGAAACTCCTACTTGACTAGAGCAGTAGACAAGAGAGCTACCTAAAGTAGCAATATGACATGTAAATACAAAGATTAAGAGCCAATAGGTCTGATTACTCCATTAAAGAAGTTTTATTTACATTTTAGTGCAATGACTGATTTCTCGGTACGTAAACAACATTCCGCGCCAATCTCCGAGTAGTTTAGTATTTTCAGTCAGTTTTATTACAATTATTTACGTGTTTCGAACTGTATTACCACAATTTTTTGGGGTACACCTGAATTGTTTTACTTACCATTGTCTGAAAGCAGCTGCGACCACAGGTAAACATCATCGCAACGTACGTACAACAACTTTTAATAGTACCTGTACAATTTCTGGAACTCTAGACAGTGTGATGCTCGGTTACCATTTTTAACAATGTACGCAAAGATGTATATATATATATATATATATATATATATATCAAATATATTACTAACCACTTTAAATTAAACTCTAAAACACAATTGTTTTTCATATGTTATTTTCCTATACTTACCTCAAAACTTAGTAAAAATGCAACTAATGTGTACTGACTGCTGTAAGTGTGATAATCAAATTATGATATGTGTTTGCGTACAAGAATCGTTCGGTTAGGCAAAGAAAAATTTTTAAATAAGTCAGTTTGTGAGTTAATGCATTCATGGATATCTCTATAGAAGTTTTTGTCTTATTATCCAAACATTTTAATATATATTAAACATCAGAATAAAAATGAATGTACAAATAAATTTTTACTAATAAGATTTCAAATCAGCCACTTCGATTAAAATTAAACAAGTATTAATAAAAATTAACTCATCACTTTTTTTTTTACTCTCATTATTAAAAAGCGGGTTATAGAGTAAAAATATGTATATATATAAAGATTTGCGCAAAGTAATAATCACATAACTTGAATACATGCTTTCGTTGTTCTTTTATGTTTTGAGATTATTTTCTGCAAAATCTAAGAACTTTATTTGAAAAATCCAAGTTTTCTTTTCAGTATCAAGACAAAATGAGCCAAATAAGTCACAAAAAAATGTTTTTTTCCAGAACTTTAAAACTATTCTCCATTATTTATATACTTTATTTGTAACAATTATCTCTGAACTTCCTTATACATCACTGCAAGGGTTTTCAAGGCTTCACACAGATTTCAAGACTCCTGGAAACATTCTAAAAAATCTTTCCATAACTTGACAAAACTGTAAAGATATAAAAAAATGCNTATCGGTATCTCATAAATATAATCGAGAAGAACGGAAAAGTACATATAAAGTCAAAATGCAAATTAGATGATAGGAATATAATTTTTTAATCATATAGACTGTATCTCTGTATTGAAATATTTTTGCTCGATGTCAGCACACTTAAAAATATTTTTTAACATTTTTCCACAAAAATATAACCTCTTGTACCTACATGGCTACCAAATTTGGA